TTGCTATCCAAACGCGCCGTTGATCTTGCTGTTCGTCACCGAAGGCAAATTTCTTGTATGTATTTTATACTTGGTCATTAAAGTATTTTGTATTTTTGCATTTTGTAAAGAAAGAAATAGCTACATCTGGGCACAGGAATGAGTGAGGGAAGACACAGAAGGGACAGCAGAGAGTTAAGAGGGACTGTACTTTCTTTCATGTTTTTCTCCTTCAACACTCAGCAGAAAAGTGAGATGTTTCATTGAAAATGAATGTTGAGAATTTCTGCCTTTTCAGGGGAACAGCAGATCTCGATTACCGGTTGCTACGATATTATTTCATCTGAGATACTGATATGCCTCCCATTATAATATATACCTAAGGGAGGTTTACAATCAATAATAAATATATAATAATCAGCAAACATTTAAGTCAAAACACAATTAAATCCCCTCCACACACACACACACACACACATACTTCAATTGCTGGCTTTAAAATATGTCCACCCTTAAGGAAAAAAACATTAAATACCTGGAAGAGGCTGATTTTCAAGATTAAGTTTAATATGTATTGCTGTGTAAGATTAAAAAACATTAAATGTCTTAATCTGACACTGCAAAAGATAAGGTGGGCATCAGGTGTTATACAAATTGGTGGTTGTTGCATATATTCTATTCTCTTGCGACCACGTCTCACACCATTACTATAAAAACTGCTCAAGAAACCTGAGACTATCCAAGGTACAGCCAAGAATCTGGAATTCCTATTCAGAGTTTTGATCAACAATGAGATAGCATTTTCCTATGACAGAAATGTAACATTCCCAACTTGAAATGGTTTGTGGGAATGGCCTTAGAAAAGGGGGGGGGGAAGAGATGCTGCCTAGGGTACAATCAGATAAGAGGGGGAGGAGCCCGCAGCTGCATAACAGGCAGAGAAACTCAGAAAGGAACCTCTCTAACTTATCAGGCTATAAAAGAGACAGTGGGAGATTTGTACTTTCAGACTTGCAAAATTAATGTCAGTTTTCCCAGGTAGACCAGACAGGAACCACAACCAGATGAGCTAATTCTACTTTATTGTATGGGTACATTAACAGAATCTTGCAAGTCTGAAAGTCCAAATCTCCCGCCGTCTCATTTACTGAATAAACAATTCATGCTGTCCGTTGTTTATATTACACCTGGCAGTTGGCAGACTGTTTTGCTAATGTATAGTTCCTCTCGGGATGAGAACAGGTCAGAGATCCCATTCTGTCATTGTAAATAGGTCTGTATTAAATCCCCCTGTGTTGCACTAACCCCCCAAACAGGTGATAATTGAACTCTTGAGAGCGTGCGGTCATTTGTAACTGTCTCTCTGAAATGGCTGTCACTGAGATAGAGCTTGACAGGTCCTATTACATCTATAAACTATTTGTTTATTTCTAAAGCTGCAAGTATAAATGGTAAATTAAGTCCAAGACAAAGAAATCGGTTTACGATGGTTTCAGGAAAACTGTTAAATCTTATGATACCAAAACAAAGGAGAAAGTGAACCTGAACTTGAATCAAAATTTGGGCTAATGTTTGCTCTTGCTTCTGTAATTGCAATCCCAATGCTATTAACATGCCTGTCCCCCACCCCCGCCCCGGTGCTCATCGTTACACATTTTTTTCTTGGGAGTTACTTATGTGTAAGATACCACAAAGCCTGCCTATGGAGTATCATGCATGTGATTTGCTTGGGTGCACACTTTGGAAAGTCTGTTTAGAAACATGCTGTGTTTTCTGTCTTTGTAGCAGTGGACAAGGTAGCACTGCTCATGGGGAACATGAGCTACTATAACCATCCCAAGCTTAAGGCTCCGTTGGTTGATGTTTATGAGCTGACCAACTTGCTGAGGCAGATGGACTTTAAAGTGGTTTCCTTGCTGGATCTGACGGAACCTGAGATGCGGAATGCAGTGGATGAATTCTTACTGCTCCTGGACAAAGGCGTATATGGTAAGACTTTGTGGCTTGATGGCCCGTCAAGTTGAACTTCAGTTTGATTGCCAGAATGTACCTTTCAAGACTACCTTATTCTGTGGAATTTGGATTTCTGCAATGAGCAGGGAGTGGACCTGATGACCCAAATAGCCTCTTCTTGCCCTGTGATTCTCTGATTCTGAAGAAGTACACAATGAGCCTTACTTTTTAAAATACATAGGAAATGCACGCTACATTAATGTAATTCAGTGTTTCTCAACCTTGACAGCTTTAAGATGTGTGGACTTCAGCTGGCTGGGGAATTCTGGCAGCTGAAGTCCACACAACTTAAAGTTGTCAAGGCTGAGAAATACTGGTTTAGTTGTAGTCATCTACCATTGATGCAATATATAGATAAAACTGCCATCCTGTTTAAATTAGCACTGAACATGGATGTTAAACATGCGACGCTTCCATATATCAAGTGGATTGGCAATCCTGTTACCTCATGTTCCAGCTTTCTGTTCAAAATTTATGGCAAGGATCTATCCCAGCCCTCCATCTAAGGCAGAAATGCAGTCTGTGGCTACATTCTCTGTAATGTGTGGGGGACCTAATCTTTGTCTCCGTCTGGTTTATAAGTTTTTCCTACATGCCTGACCCTTTTTTGTGAGCATGACCCTTATCTTTAATCCTAATAACCTGAAGGTTTGTTGTTGTTACTCCTTTTTAAAGAAGTAACATTATCTAATTCATATTTTGCTGTTTGCAAAGTCCTCATTGTATTGTTTTCACATAGTGGCCTGGCCATTAAATTACCCTAGGACCCTTTCCAGGTTTTCTGAAGCACTCAGGAGTCTTTCAGTCAGTGTTAACTTTTTTGATCATCTCCACAGTAAATCTGCTTCGTTGGGTGGCTGCCTTCACTGAACTTCAAATAGTTTTTTAGATCTTGTCAGGATGCTTGCTCTTCATCCTAAGTAACTATGCTTGGGCACTGAATTTTAAACTGCTTCATGCTTGGAGTTGAAATTATGCTTTTAGGAAGTACCTGAGATGTGGCCTTGAAATGTGATAATGCAATTCAGTATCTTTATCTGTTATAAAACTTGGAATGCCCATTTTGATTTGACTTGGTTCTTCCCACCATTGTGGTCTAGTCTTTGGGATCATCTCCAAGTTAGAATTCAGCCTTTAGGCTGTACATTTTTTCCCATTCATGTTGTGTGTATGTGAAAATGTCTTTTGCTGAGTCTGTTTAATCAAACGCTGTCTGCTCTACCAAATACAATTCTCCCACATCTCTTTTTTCCATCACTTGACCTTTTAAATGAAGATGCTGTGGGCTGCAAATTCTCAGACCACTGATACTCCTCTACACGCCCATCACTTTTTAAAACTGATTTAAAAATGTATGTCTCTGAATTCCCATCAGTATTTTATTTTTCATAGTTATTATTACAGATATTTCACTAGGGAGGATAGGAAGAACCCAGCACCTGATAGTACATAAATGAAGTCAAGCATTGGTTTGAGTTGGACGTGTGTCTGCAATAGATGCTAGCACACAGTGTGAAGTTATTACATATGCAACTTCCTCATCGATCAGATGCTTAATGCTTGATTCACTTAGTTTCTCCTGATCTGACATTCAGAATGCCTTTCGCTCTTCATGTTCCTGAGCCAACATTCACTCTGACAGGAAGATTTATTGTAATAGCAACAGCAGCCACAGACTTCCAGGCGGCAACATGCTTTGACAATCCTTTTTAGCGGTGGCTTGTCAGGCACATTCAGGTCACTCGCGGCTGTAGATGTGATGTTGCTGCTGCTTCCTGAATGCTTGTAGCACTAACTTTGTGTTACTGGTTTCTTTTTCCACTACAACAAAATATTTTAAAAGTTCTAGATGACAACCTATGAAAATCCAAACATGGCAGTAACACAGCCATAGTTGTTATCATGGGCTCTCCAGAGTCCATAACGTGATGTTACCTAGAGATCATTTAACAGAAAAAGATTCTTCTCATAAGCTAATATTGCATATATTTCTCCCATGCCCAACAGACTTTATGCTGTTGATAGCTAATAAGTTTTTATTTTTTAAAGACTCAATAGCGTTCTTGTCCATTTCTTCAAGTTACATTGCTCAGGAGGAAAGTAAAGATACAATACCACTTCCTTTACAGAACTGTTTTTCCTGGAGACTTAACGGATATTTCTGTATAGTTTTCTTGGCAACAATGTGGAAGTGGTTTTCCCCTGTATTAGATAGGGCTGCTTTTTCTGGCTTGTTATTTGTTCAATTAAGTGACCAGCAGCGCAGCGCTCTGCAAGGAACCAAGGGAAGATGGTGTTAGAGCAACCACTGGTGGTGATAGCTGGGGATTATGAGAATTGACGTTCAGTACATCTAGACAATGTCTGTTTGCTTGCTTGCTTGCTTGCTTGCTTGCTTGTTTATTTATTTATTTATTTATTTATTTATTTATTTATTTATTTA